AAACTATACATGAGAATATATATATATAGAATAGAATAAAATTTACATAGACATTTTTTTCGAAGAGTGTTAATAGTGAAAACCTAGAAACTACGAGAAAACGAAGCAAGAAAAGAAAGAGTGACATTTTGAGAATAAAGGAAAAACTCTTGAATGTGAATAATTTATATAAATAGTTTACCGAATTGCTTTGACACTTCAAATCATTCTAACTTCGAACTTGGAGAACAAGAAGAGTTTACTGAAAGAGGAATTTAGAACTTGAAAATTGTCCATACAAAGTCAAATTAATGAATTTCTGTCATCTTAATAAAACTCCGTTTGGACTCATAAATAAGGGGTAATATGTTAAGTGAAAAATATGTTACCGTTTCATATAATATAAAAAATGTTTCACAACCAAAGCAATAAATCTGATCCAATTTAGATATCTCGATAGGTGTACCGAAGTTAAGTTTAAGTTATTTTACCCTCGAGATTATATCCTTATACCCACACATTCAACAGGGAGCAATTATAATATTATTTATTTTGACAAAGGGGTTTATTCTAATAAGACCACTTCCCTGTTATATATTATTAAGTTGAATTGCGTATGTGAGCAGTGTTGACCGAATGTATTGAGCCCTAAATTTAACTACAGGTAGGTATATTCAACAATGCCCGCTCTAAATCTTTACTCTGAGTCAAAAATAGTTTTGTGCAAGTCATTTTGGATGCAAAGATTTTTAGAAAATATAGTAAAATACGGAAAATATTTCGGTTAGTTTGGAAAAAATATGGAAATATACGTTCTGGTAAATATAAGCTGGAACGTATTTTATCCAATAGCTAGCTTTTGGAAATTCCGCTTTTTATTGGGAATCCGCTTTGCGGAATAGAAAATACTAGGTCCTTTGCTTAATTATCTTTAAAACTAAAATTGATTTCAATAAGTATGTATGCATACACTTTATTTACTCTTGCCTTTCGGCTTTGACTATAATTTACATTATACAATACACAGTTATATATTTTCTAACTGTTTTTAATAAGTATCCATCTGTATCTAATAACATTGCTTTTAAAAAAAATAATGTGGTTATTATAAAAGTATGAAACTATATTGTTTTTATTTATTCGAACCCTTTGCTGAATAACTGGTTTCACTATTATAAAAATATTTACATCCTTATATGTGAAAATTATGCATAAACAACGATCAATTGTTATTTAATTGATCAAGTTATTTAATCCTGGTTAACTATTATTCCTTTGTTCTACTAAATTGCATAAAAAAAATTTACTATCAATAAAATTGAACAGTAAATACTTTCAGTCACAAACTGCTTTTAATCACTTTAAATTTTTTTTATAAAAATTCGAAGCCGGTTAAAACCGGTTTTCTGGAAAAATGATTATTCGAAAGCCTGTTTTCTAAAATGTCGAGTTTTGTATAAACCCTAGTTGTACGCAAAGCAAATAGAAGAAAAATGTTGGCCACAGACTCATGGACTGTTGAAGAAGAAGTTGTAGGATTGTCCAGAACAGAAAGAATCAGAAACGAAATAATCAGCAGAATATCGGCATAGAAAAGAATATTATGGTCGAAAGGGAACCGCCGTTAATATGTACATACAAAAAAAAGGGAAAACATTTATGGCCAAGAAAAATTATAGAATGGACTCCGCCGGAAGAAGAAGAAAGAGGGGAAGACCAAGAAGAAGCCTGAAGGAATGACGTGTATGATACAATAAAATCAAGGAACTTAAACGAGGAAATGGATGATGATAGAAAATTGGGGAAACTGGGGACTGAGAGACCACGACAGCCGTAGATATCCGGACATATGCATGCATTCTGAAAAAGAATGAAAATCCAAATGGCTACTTGCTTTAGGTTGGAAAATCTGAATTTTTAAAAGGACGAGCAAGTCGCTAACTTTAACTTAATTATTAACTTTAAGACCCATATTTACCCAGCCGACAGAAACCGGGATACTGAGTGATTATTAGTAAATAATCAAACATGCGAATTTTTCAAGTCCATAAATACGAAAAAATACTTTCGATGCACATTTTGCTATTTAATTAACACGTATCTAAGTCAAATTAGTCTAAGCTGGGAGCCATTTCTTCCATGACAAAAGAGCGCAGTAACAGCCTCAGTAAAAAAAAGACTTGACATAAAGAAAATGTTTTGGGACTCATTGAAAAATGTGTTGGTGTACCTAGAATTATAGTTATTTTTATATAAATCCAAGAAGTTTTAATGTATCATAGGCTGTAATAAACAATACAAAAATGCAATTTGCTTTTGAGTAATCAACAAAGTGATTAGAAATTAAAGTAGCCAATAAGTAAAATAATGTCGGTTTAACCGACATACTTGGAAAACTGAATACTTAATTCAGGCAATAGCAGTACATGCTGTGGCAGTACTTTGTTACATGGAAGTGGATGGTAAGGGCAAAGCCAAACAGGGTCAATTTACTTCTAAAACGGAATCACCCTAGATGTAGCGCCATTAACTTGGAATTAACATCAAAATGACCAACCGCACTTAATTAGCTTGTAAATGGGCGATTGCTGGCCTTGAACTAGGCCATTGCCATCATGCAGTTGCATTATTTGTTTCTACAGCCGAGATTATACCTCCATTTGGACCATTAGCCGATATAAAGCCCGGAATACGCAACATGCAAACGTGGTTATACAACCCCTGATAAAGGATTAAACCCGTACGGGGTGGATCTTAGAACCGCATCTGGTTTTATCTAAATAACGTTGGTCGCTGATCTGGTTGCTTATTGTACTTGTCCTCCGGCCATTGTTCAACATATTGACAAGTTAACGAGCCTTGCGAAACGTTTGCTAATTACTAAAGTTTAACACAATACTGGTCCTTTCTCTATTACCGAATTTGCGATAAGTTCTCATTGCTAACTGCATCTGTTAATTAAACTGGTGGATCTAATCAATTATCTCGATATATGCGCAAAGATTTGATGATGAAGAAAAATTGCATGCAAATCGCCCTCAAACTAGATAATAGAAACTGAATTGAAAATGAGCCGAGTCGCTTCTGAAAACAGTCAACAGTGAAAAATAATCGTAAATGATAATAACTGATAAAGATGAAAGAGAAACTCTCATTATCAATATATTCTTTACAAATAGTTTACCTACAAGATGGGCCCACAGTTTGATTAAGTTACATACTAACATTTTCACAACTTGTTCAAGTGGAACAATAATGTGGGTTGCGACGTGTTTTATACTGTGTTTTTCCAGCTAATACAATGAACTAATTGTCACGTGGAATCAGAAAGGACTGAAAATAATGCGCTATTGGATAATTAATTAATTTTCATTCAGTAAGTTACTAGTTAAAAATAGAGCACGTTGTGTAAGTTCGTATCTTAGAAAAAATTGAGATTTTCAAAAAGAATTGCATCTGAATTTTGACTATATGGAATTGGTAGGTGGAAAACATTCCTTAATTTGCCAAATCATTATTTCTAGTTCTTGCCTGTAGTGAAATTGAGCTGTATAATCAACAACAGCTTATTAATCCTTGCATCACCATAGAACATAGTGGTCATAGTGAACTGCTCAATAATTAACAATTAAAATGTCTACAGAATATGACGTTTGAAAGTTTCTTATGCTAGAACCGAACACCAAATAATTGAAATAATCAATGTAATTAGTATATTGGTTTCATATCGACCACGACTTCGGCAAAATGATTAAAACAATCGGATAGCTTTAGACTCGTTATTTATTACTTCAAATCTCATCGCATTTCTTCTCATTTTGCAATAGCAAACAGTGAGGACGGGTGTATAAAAACAACTTGCTTTCATTGTTGGAGGTTTGTTTTGTTGAACAACTCTGAAGCGCGCCCAATTTTATTTTAACTGTTTTTTTGGCTTTCTGATTTGGAGTACATTATTTAAATATGTAGCATAAAAGTTGGTTGCATTTTTTAATAATCTTCTGGATGTTTACTTATCTATTTAGGATGTTCCAATACTGCAGCTTCTTAAAACTTATATTAATCACCTATCTAGATTATAAAATTTTTATTAGTCCATATTCATCAGAATGAACCAAGTCAGAGCGTTGAACATTGAGCAAAATTCACATGAAATGAACATTTATTCTTGACAATGAAAGTCATACGATTTGCATCAATTTGCTTACAATGGTTCTAATTCTGGGAAGAAACATCTATCACTGCATAGATGTTATGTGTTGTTATGGAAGAAAGTTGTAAGCCCACTGGAGATTTTCTAGTCTTAATTACCTAAACTACATGGACCGTTGGGATGTATTCTTCTTCGGTTGAGGAATATACAGCTGTTATTCAGAGTTTCAAATTAAATCAATTTTTGTAAAAGTGAAAATATAAATTCAGCTTTTTGCATGCCTGTTTTTCTTTGAACAGCACATCGTCAAAGTAAAGTAATTATTGTGTATCTGTAATGGGATGACGACTTTTCAAGGTGC